TTCCATTCATTTGGACTACTGCTACCATCACCAATAAAAGAATCACTTTTTCTGACAATCTGTCTCCGTCTTTGCTATTGGGCCTTCCACACACACACACACACACACACACACACACACACACACACACACACACACACACACACACACATCATTTTAACATACTTTTGTTTTGTAATTTCACACTTGATGGGAGTGCAGGTATTCCAGAGACGCAAGTCTGCAAAAAATTAAAAAGTAAATTTTCCATAATATGTCTCATTTAAGAGAAGAGAAGAACATGCGAACATGAAAAAAAATAAAATAAAATGACAGTTTCACATCGCATTAAACATCACCACATGTGCCTAATTGCCATTACTTGTCAATGTTAAAACGGATATGTTTAACAACTTTTTATAATTGTTTAAAAATTAATAGTGTTGTAAGTGTGAAAATAGCAAGATTTCTGAGGAGTACTGTAACTAGCGTCTGTACACTATCACCACTTAGATGCAGTATTCACATTTTCAAAATGTTGATTATGACGGTTCATGGGATTAAACTATGTTTTTAAAAAAAACTCCTCGCACACATAAAGTCCATATTCATTTCCATTATATACTGTATGTGGTCAAAAATATACATCTGATAAAAACTACTGCGTTTTACCGGCATGCACTGTAAATGTACGTAAATGCTTTGACTGATGCTGTAGATTGATTTCATAAATTATGTAGCTTCAACAATATGATATATACTGTCTGAATACAAACCCATGAAGGCACACAAACGTGCTTGCATCTTTAAAAGTCCAGATTACAATGCTCTACCAATGAGCTGATAAAAGTAATTTTATCTAGTGCTTTCGGCGCTAGCTAAATTCCACTGGAGGGGTTTCTTTTCCCATTGAGAGTAGAATTTGTCGATGTAATTGAAAGATAAGTGTTACATTTTTGGGGTGCTCATGTGAAAAGCTTCATGTTTTATTCATATACATTTACAAAATAATAAGCACGGAACAATTTGCATATTTGCTTTTAGCATAGTGTAGTGTACCATTTTTGATCTGGCATTTATTTGGAATGTGACGGTGTGGTGTCTTGTACATATTTTGGAATCCATTCAGATGCAGCTAAATTCCTACAGCGAAAAGTCAAGTATGAACCTTGGACTTTTTGGGGAGATTTCCAACTCAGTCGTTGCGAGGAAGCAAGTCAGAATAGCATGACAATCACAGCAGTGAAACAGCATTTGATTTACACGTTAAGTCAAGAAGACAACCACAATAAGGAGCAGTGCATCAGGATGACATTTTCGTTAAAAAAAATAAGTAAAATTAAAAAAATAAATAAAAAAACAACATGAGAAAACCCCTTTGTCAGTTGTCATCCCTGATATGTTTAAATGTTTTGTTTTTGTTTTCTTGACAATACCTTGTAACACAGAAGAAGGCAACCGTTCTGTGTTACCCAAACAAAGTTTACCACCACGACCTAAATTGAAAATTCGAACAGACTGACTCAGATATTCAGCAGCCTTGGCTACTGAATATCTGTCTGTCGACCCAATTGAGCTCAGCCATATTTCATGGAACAAATATTTTAAACTTCATCTTCATATTTTTAAATAGTATTTCCTTGGTTATGTTTTTCAATACTCTTGTGAAGAGGTACAGCGTGTCAAGCTACCTGAGAACAAAGTAAGGACTTAAAAATCACCTGAAAATTAATCATCTGAAAAAAAAAATCTTTGGCTTTTGAATCAGCATGAGACTTGATTTTAGTTTGACTGTTTTTGTGCTTTTTACTGTCTTTGTTATTAATTTATTGTTTTATCGTTTGTTGTTGTATGACTTATCGTTGCTCTTTGTACAGCACTTTGTATACAGCGGTGGCTGTTTTAAAGTGCTCTATAAATACAGTGGAGTAATGTATCTTGGGTGCGTTCAGAATTACGCTCAGAGAGTGCACTGCCTCACTCCGACCATTCAGAAAATGTGGAGGGTCAAGGCAACAGTGATGCCAGTAGTGATCCCGGCTCTGGGGGCAGTAAGCCCTCGACTGGGTGGTTGGCTCCAGCAGATACGAGGAAAAACATCCGACATCTCCATGGAGGAGAATGCAATCCTGGGAACAGCTAAGTTGTGTGTGTGTGTGTGTGTGTGTGTGTGTGTGTGTGTGTCTGTGTGTGTGTGTGTGCGTGTGTGTGTGTGTAGTCATGCGTAACACTGTTTTGTGTCCACCACATTGTTTTGATTATTGAAGTAGCGCTATCAATTCCAAATGCATGGGGTTATTTTTTTTTCACTTTGATGATAACATTTTGATGGGGATTCAATTAAAAGATGGATATTCTTGTTGAACTCCGGAGACATTTCAAACTTTCAAGATGAAGGGTTTAGCGTACTAAACATGAAACATAAGACATCCTTGAACTATGTATTCATCTGCCTCCATCCTATTCATAATCCAAGGCTTGGGGACTTGCCTCACACAAGGATTCCTAATTATTCAGACGCATAAGTCAAAATTTTCAAGAATTTCAAGCCTAGATCACAGACTCAGTTCGACTTGTCATCACTTCAACAAGAGTGAGTCATAGATCGACGGATGATTCTGCTTCCGTCATCATGCTTTTGAATAAAGGGACAATGCTGCTTTGGATAGTGACGATCAAAAACTTGGCTTGCTGGTTTCCAGGTGAATTATTAGTTCAATGTTGAACAGGATCACACAACAAACTTGTTTGGCAGAATAAGAAAAATCAGAGGCTATGTGTTTGGTCATCTGGGAAGCCAGAAAAATGACACAAAAAGAAAACCAAGCTTTGAAGTCTACTGAATAGAGTGGGACCCCTGATATGTTACACACACTTCAAAAACTGAAATGTCATCCTGTGTCATCGGATATGTCAGCAGTATCTTACCATGACGTCACTATACCTCATAAACTACATCAAAGTGGGCACCGTGTGCATTTTGCTTTTTGATAGCCTTTTTCGGGTGTTTGCGATGGGCTGTAATGATGGTGTCACCTGAAACACATTCTTCCTCAATTGCAATTGAACAAAATGTAAGTCAAGCTGGGTTACGAATAACTCACGGTATGTTTGATACTACTGTATCTAAAGTTGTATAGTATTACTTACAGGCACGTACTATTCTCAGAAAAATCCTTGCACACAACAACTTGGATAGAAATACTGGCAGGTGTAGAAGCCCACTCTTGTTTTAGTTTAAAAAAGGATGTTTGACACTGAGAGTGTAACTCCTCTTTGCTGTGACATGGCTAAATCACTGTCTGCTCTTTTGTCTCCAGGGGCTCACCTTGCTTTGGACATACTGAAGCTCGAAGCAATTCGGACGGCCATCAAATCTCAGTGTGACTCACTGTTCATGCACACATTCAAGGGAGAGGGGCCAGTGAGTATTTAGCTGGGTGAACTCTCTGTGAACTTTCTGCTGAAAATTTGTCTCGGCTTTTTTTAATAATGCAGTGTATATAAATATCACCTCAAATGCATTGCGGTACAAACTAGTCATTCTTTCATGGTAAAAATGTCTCATTGTTCAGCTTATTGTCCCAATATGTCTTTAGGCAGGTGCACGTGGACCCACTATCAATGTCTCTAAACTATGAAGATGGATCTACAAGACTTCTCTGTTCTGGAACATTGATGATGCGTGCAGAGGCAAAATGTGCATCACAAATCATCACAAAAACATCAGTGTACCTTGGGAATCTTCCTCCTGTCAAATCCTCTCTTTAGAACAAATTATATTGCCATACCTGCAATCTTAACCACTGTAATACTAGTTGGTTGAGCACAACACAACACTGTGATCTAGCCGTACATCAGCCGCGAAGTTCTGAAGTCAGGGTTTCAAATCCTGCCTGGGATAGGCTTCAGTTTAACCCTGACAAGTGCTACAGAAAATGAACAGATGGATCTATTGTACTCTCATCCACAGTTACAGTCAATTCACTACAGTGAATAATCCAACTCAAGTCAGCCCTTTGTCCATCGATAGAAACCTCAATCTGCTTGAGGTTGTGGTCCCTTGTGTATACAGAATCATATCTTCCAACATCACTGACAGTCACACTTGTATAAATATCTCCACCACAATCCTTTCCCAGCAGCCCATCGACATTATCTCTGAAATGGATGGGGCAATTAGTCATCATCCACATTGTTTTGTTGGGCTCACACAGTCGAACTGATTCAATAAATTATTTCAATAATGGGCTTCTAATCATACATGCAGTTTTTTCTTGTTGTCTTTTTAAAGTAAAATATACTTGATGAATTTTTTTGTGTATAGATAGAAAGACAGACAAGACAAAAAACTTTGGTGAGTCACATTTATTTGAAATTATGACTCTGATAAATGACTTAAGTCTGACATGTCATGGCATCTCCAAGTATAATGAACTCAGTGAGCACAATAGGTCATGTGCAAAACGCATACTGTCATCAGCAATGGAAATGCTTGCAATAGATCATCGCCTGTTTTATCAATGAATCACAACAAGCCAACGAGTGTTTCCAATCAAAGATGTCCAGAGAAAAAGTATCTAGACATTATGAAGTTATTCGGAGATGGATTATGCTAACCATCACATGCATGTTTTTTGAGGGGTGGGGGGCTAGATTCCTATTCATCTTATACATTCAATTACACAAAGAAATTGTTTGCCACTGGATGCGCAAAACAACAACAAAAAAAGGTTTAGATTCCATTCACTGTATGAATATTAGTGAACAACTGTGAACTCATACAGCTGTTCTCTCACGATGAGGTCAAAGAAGGCAGACATTAATTGGCCCGATGGGGGTTAGGGGGGAAGAGAGAGAGAGAAAGAGAGAGAGAGAGAGAGAGAGAGAGAGAGAGAGAGAGAGAGAGAGAGAGAGAGAGAGAGAGAGAGATTCATTACTTAGTGCTTGGTTTAAACGCAGCCCATTTGGAATATGTAAATTTCTTGGGCAGAGAAAAAAAAATGCAGCAAGAGAATGTAAGGAGTTAAGAAGGGAGAGGTGGAGGAAGAGGAGGAGGGGAATAGCATGACCAAGTGAGTGAGCAATCAAAGCAGAGAGAGAGAGAGAGAGAGAGAGAGAGAGAGAGAGAGAGAGAGAGAGAGAGAGAGAGCCCTCCGAATTGTGAGTGGCTTACGACACTCAGTGAACAGTCTGTGTTTCTGCATGCACTGTCAGTGTGCCGGTCTGCTGCGAGGGATTGCGCGCTCCTTTGCCTTCCATATTTACCGCCCCTGCTTGCCTACCAGCACTAACCTTCAGCACCCTCTTCCAGTCGGCTGAAAAATCACTCGGAGAACAAGAGAGAGAGTGAAACCTGCGTGCCGCGAAGGATGCAAGAGGCGCTGATGCGATTTTTCTTTTTTTTTTTTTTTTCTTTTTGAATCAAGATGAACAACTGACATGGAATATTGTCACATAAGAATACCGTGAACTGATTTCACCTCTTTATTTGATTTGATTATTTATTTTTCTCACCAGCATCGACCACTGAAAGCATGATTAACCGCTGGGACGGATTTAAACCGCACAAGTTAACGATTGCTTCCAGAGATGGGCGACAATAAATATCCTTGCAGACCTGCTGAAACTTAAGCAAGTCGGGGAGGAGAAAAGAAAAAAAAAAGCTATTTCAAACAATGTACTCTTCTCCTCATGATCATTGCAGCAGAGGACTGCGGAGAAGCTGAGGAGACTGAGCTGAGGCACGCAGACTGGGGAACTTGCGCTTTCTACCATCTCCCCACTTGGATTCCTTCTCTTTCTGTCTCTTTCACTTGAGGAGAACTAAGACATTGTAAGCCTGCCAAGGATCTGGTGTCCACTGAAAGGAGAGCGGGGAGGGGGTGATGGTGAATTTGTATCACAGTGGGGTCCTTTTTAGATCCACACATAATTAGTGTCGGGGCACAAAGCGAGACGCTGAATGGAGATTGTCAGCTCTTGGATAGGGGTGAGTAGGAATCTTTTCAGATAAGATCAATCCATGAGGACATTTCTTTTTTTCATCTCTCCTCTCCACCCACCGTTTGATCTATACCATAAACGAAGAGACTTTATCTTTTGCATTTCGGACAAGGATTTTCTTAGCGGACTAAGTGAAAAAAAAACAAATCCTGTGTTAAGCTAAAATACATACAAGAGGGCGGGGGCGGGGGAGGGAAGCAAACGAAAAAAAAAAAAGTCAAATATGATGCGCGACATATGATGTGATAGGTGGACAAACAATATCCAGAGTGAATGGACATTTGCTTGGTCAAATCCCTGGATATTTATGCTGATGGATTTCCTTTTAATTGGACTGTATTTAAAGTGGCCGGTGAAGAAGCCCCCTGGGTTGATCCTGTGTTCATTGGGGATTTTTTTAAGACTGGTACCCATGGTGGAGGGGGTTTGTCCGAGGCTGTGCCGCTGCGACAGCAAGCTGCTGTACTGCGAGGGCTTGAACCTCACAGACATTCCCCAAAATCTGAGCAGCGCCATGGGCTTGTCCATGAGAGAGAACAACTTGACTGAGCTGCGTGAAGGCCAACTGGCTGGCCTGTCACAGCTCACCTGGCTCTACCTTGACCACAACAACATTGACATTGTGGAGGAGGCGGCATTTGACAAGCTAAGACGAGTCAAGGAATTAGACCTGAGCAGCAACCGAATTGAGAGTCTGCCAAATGGTACCTTTAGGCCCCTCCCAAACTTGCGCATCTTGGACGTCTCGTACAACAGGCTGCAGGCCCTCGAGCCCGACTTGTTTCATGGCCTTAGAAAGCTCACCAATCTGCATTTGCGCTACAACGCTCTCAAGTTTGTGCCAGTGCGAATTTTTCAAGACTGCCGGAGCATGCAGTTTCTCGACTTGGGATACAACCAACTGCAGAGTCTGGCACGGAACTCCTTCGCTGGACTTTTCAAGTTGACAGAGTTGCATCTTGAGCACAACGAGCTGGTGAAAGTCAACCTCGCCCATTTCCCTCGCCTGATCTCTTTGCGTACGCTATATATGCACAATAACCGCGCAACTATTGTTGTCAACACCCTGGAATGGACATGGCATTTCTTGGATAAGATTGATTTATCTGCTAATGAAATCGAATACATTGAGCCACATGTTTTTGAGAGCGCACCCAACCTCAAGGTATTGATGCTCGACTCCAATCGGCTGACTTCCGTGGATCAGCGCATCTTGGACTCGTGGTCCTCCCTGAGCAGCATTACCCTGGGAGGGAACGACTGGGAGTGCAGCCGCAATGTTTGTGCCTTGGCCTCGTGGCTGAGTGCCTTTCGAGGCCAACGTGACAATTCACTGCTGTGTTCAAGCCCAGACACGGCACAAGGTGAGGATGTCTTGGATGCTGTCTATGCGTTTCAGCTCTGCGAAGATCCCCCACTGGAAGTTACCTCAGCGGGGCTGTATGCCTCCACAAGGGACCTGGTCCAAGGAGGCTCCGTGTTCCTTGGCCCATTTACACCCAACCCTTATGATGGTGAGGACGGTGAAGTGGTCACCAGTTCTTTCACCGTCACAGTGGGACATGACGACCTGGAGAGTACCATGCAGATCCACAAGGTTGTGACTGGCACGATGGCACTCATCTTTTCCTTCCTCATCATTGTGCTCATGTTGTACGTGTCGTGGAAGTGCTTTCCAGCCGGAATAAGGCAACTGAGGCAGTGCTTCAGCAGTCAGCGTCGTAAACAGAAGCAGAAGCAAAACATGCAGCAGATGGCTACAATTTCAACACCGGAGTACTATGTTGACTATAAGCCCAACCATATTGAAGGAGCTCTGGTCATCATAAACGAATACGGCTCCTGTACTTGCCAACAGCAGCCTTCTCGGGAATGTGAGGTGTGACCCGGGCTGACCATACGTTGCCACCCTCATTGATGATCGGCTATGTTTTTTTGGGACACATTGGAACAGAAGGATTCGATGTATATTTTGGCCACATTTTACGCAGCTTCTCACTGTGATATGGAATGAGTTTGCTTCATGCAGCCCATCATTTTGCTGTGGATTTCCTGCTGTTTCTTTACTGATTTGAGGTTACAAGGCAAAATGGGCTTGTGACTTTGGGAACTGTCCATATTATAGCAACACTGAGAGGAATACATTAGAAGCTGTGCACACTTTTTTGTTTTTTCCCATGACTGATGGATATTTTAGCTTTAATGTGTCTTTCTACTACAGGACATGCAGTTCAGCTGTGGACACACACACACACACACACACACACACACACACACACACACACACACACACACACACACACACGTATGAAATAAAAACATTTGTATGATGGCAAACAATATTTGACAAGGATTTAACACATAAAAAAACATATTTAAGTTGGATTAAAAATGTAAAGAGACAACTGTGTAAAAATGTTAAAAGAAGTGCAACTGTGGATAAAACTGAACAAGATATTTCTTTTGTAAATGCAAAAAAAAAAAGTTCAAATAAATGACTTGCTATTCACAGTGAAATCATTTGTATGTGAGACGCTTAGGAGAAAGGATGGATGACAACTGCGCTTGGCGAGTCATACCTCTGCAATCCTTTGACCAAAAAAAAAAAAAAATGCAAAACTAGCTCACCAACTAGATATGAAAAGGGCAGAGAGATATTTTCATCTGAAATGTAATGTCTATGATCTACATTTGACTCAATCTATTTTTAAGTCACATGTGTGTTGCTTTATGATTCACTGTGTTGGTTCACGAGCAGTGGCGTTTGACTGTCTTTTGCTTTAAAATAACTTGATCAGGTGATTACATTTTGATCAGCTGGAACACATTCATGTGATATTATCTGTGTACCATCAAAGTAAAACAAGCAGAATGTCAAACATATAAATCTGTCACTCATTGCTTCTTATTTTTTGGGGGGCTTTTACCGGTGGTGTCACTGAATCAAGCAGAGAGAGGGCAACTAACATCTAACGCAGACTTATTTAGAATCAAAATGCATATTTGAATCACTAAAATAGAGTAATCCACCAGGGGGACTTGAACATAAAAGAATCTGTGTTTTCATGTTATATAAAATGTTTGTTGTACACATTTTCATGTGTATACACATATATAGGTATATATCTACTTTTTTTTTTGGTGTCGTGTACAGATGTTGTGTTTCCTCTGTCTTTTGACACGAGCTGCTGTATTTTGTGGGAGGAGGTGGCAACGGAGATGGAGGATCGCAATGGCTGCAGAAAGAGGGAACAGACTGCTCTCTAGTGTGCATATATTCAGAGTGTTGATGCCTTTTGCCGATTGTACACTAGATTCTGACTCTCAGCTCCCACGGCAGCAGAATCATAATGACTTTGCAATGAATTTTGTGGAGGAAAAAAAAATGCAGCATCATTTTGTGTTATTTTATATAAATTAAAATTATGTTTACAAAGTGTTATTCAGCAGGAATAAAACAAACCAACCAACAGACAAAGAGTTTCTCAGAATTCACTCAAGACAAAAAAAGGTGACGTTTTGGATAAACAGGGCCAATGGGGATAAAAACAACTATCGACTCCACATGCTTGAAACGTTTGGAATATTTTGCCGGGTTTCACAAAACACTTTTATATTCATTATTTGAAGGGTGGCTGTTAAGCTTGTCCTTCAGTAAAATGGTGAAATTACAAATATTTCAAGATCCAGACAATGATTTGCAACTAAAAGGAAGTCTACTTTCAAACACGATGTCCATTTGCTTTGTATACATATTTTGAATCGCCATATCTAATACTTCACAAACCATTCCAGGTTTTCAACCAACATCAATCCCTACTAATGTTGAGGGGGTGAACTATTCAACTTTGACGTATTTCATCAGTGAACATGCATTGGGGGAGGGAGGCGGGGGAATAATGGTTATTAGTTGCCATGTGAGATTTATGATCCTGTTCTTATTTGATCCATTTGAAGACTCAACACGGCTGTTAATCATAAGCTGATACCCTGCAAATGCAAAGCGCTGCATGCAGAATGGGGTACAAGGATGAAGAACTAGATTCAAATTATTCTCTCATTATCATTTCTGTCAAGTAATTTTGTCCTTAGCTGTCCTTCAAGGTATGTCACACTCTGTTCGACATGCAACAGATGAAGCTTAACATTGTGAAGTTTCATTCATTTAAATATTGGATGGTGTCTGGCATTCACGCCAATGCTGGCACCACCATTGATTTCTGTTCACTTTTTTTTTCTTAAATATGCGACAAGAATGGAAGGTTATTGAGAAGAACTGAATATTTTAAAAGCTTGGAGTGCAAAGGGCTGACATTCAACCACTTTTAACTTCTCTCCATTCCTGTTCACCTTTACTTTCTCCTTCCCTTTTGCCCTGTCTCGCACTCTTTCTCTCAGACAATAGTAACTGCAAATAAAGGGGTGGGGGGCGGGGGGGACACAACAACGCATTTAACCGACAGATCATATCTCTGCCTGACCCAAGCCTGGGGTGAACTTTCCCAGAGGGGGAATACCTATTGGCAAACTAGATTAATGATACTCAATGAACATCAATAGAGTCGGATTTTAAATGCAATACCCAACATGATGAATATAATGTAGTCAAGATACTGGAGGATTGTAAAACAATTGACTCTCTTGTAATGTGTGACTTTTTAAACCCCACAATGTTGCGTTCTATTGACACTCGGGGCAAGTGAATGCGGGACTTCGTTTCAGGAAAGGGTTGGTGACTTGCTTAAGGGTATCTATCACGCCAACACCTAGTTGCAATTTGCCACAAAGGGACTCATACTGTAACCGTTTGGTTCCAAAGTCCAAGTCCTTCCAGACCAGCAGCTGTCGCCCCGCCATAACATGGTGTTCTGATTTGACTGTCTGACATGACACATTCTGCTTCTTTTTCACCATTCGGTGTTATGAGCCCAGCTGCTTGCCAGCTGCATGACATACAATACATGCCCATTTTTAGCTCTTCGTGTGCACAACCGAGCACGTGCACACGCAATATGCACTCGGATGCAAAATAGATCAAGACATAGTGTGATGTAGGTCAATAATGTTGGCCATTTACAATGGTATGCAACCACTGATACAAAGAGTAAAGGTCACAGCAATCCAAACATGAAACGTGGTGAAGCGCACAAAGAGGAACATTCTGTTGAATGTGAACATCAGGTAAAAAGGTCAATCATTACATTTCAAGGACCGTAAACAATACAAATAGTTACAAGCTGAAATAGGTGCAGTTAAGTCTGTCTAAGCATATAAATTTGCCCATGAGTTGTGCTGAAAATGAAGCACGGCAGCATAAAACAACGTGGTCTCAGAATTACAGTATTTGGTCTGCAGGTCTAAAAAGAGCAAAATAAGAGTCACCATAGGACCATAAGTATCAAATCTTTCAACATAACGCACCCCCACAATAATTTTAATTGAATGACATTTTAAACTGCTCAGAAAAATATCCGCAATGGGGCTTGAAATACCGAGTAGCTGCCGGAGTTGTTGGTCCAGCCAGCACTTCAACCAGCCGCTAAACACAGACTTGCACCTCATATTTTGACAGCTAGATCCTCCGACCAGTCGTGAGTATTTAACGAGCTGGAATGACAACGTCTTTGTGTTATAGCATGTGCGCTTAAGACAAAACATCACTCCACAGACAGACCTTTCAAAAAAATGGCTTGCAGCAAGCACCTTGACACAAAAACCAAATCCTTGAAAAAACAAATTAACCTAGCTTCCTGTGAGAGGTATTGATTGAGCAACATTCTGCCGTGTCATTGGGGGCGAGGGCTGTGCTGCATAATAAACATTTAACACCCCCTCATAACTAGATGCAGAGCTAAATCACGGGTGGCATGTACTGCAGCAGGCTGCAAGGAGATGGTGATGACGAATGGCAATGCGTGGGCGGCTTTGCACTGCTTCTTTTATAACAGGTGGGTTATAATCAGGATCGCCACACTAATAATGAATGGCACTGTCTTCGAATCTAAAACCCTTGTCGGACCAGTTCTGTCGTTGCACAATCCCTGCTGAATGTCACCTTCTTTTTCACCATGATATTACGACATGAAAAGTCAAGGAGAGCCATTTGTTTGCATGCTATGGATTCATTCAGAGAAATAACCACAGGAAAACTACATTTCAAACATTGATGGGATCGTGTTATTTTCAGTAGTATCCACATCTGTGCGTACTGCATTTCTCATACAACAAGACACCCCCCCTCGTATCCAAGGAGCAAACTGTCAGGATAGTCAATTTATCAAAACGGACACAGGTCCAAGAGGGCACTTCAAATGACATTCATTACTTTGGCTAATTCTGCGGGCAGTCTATAGCGACCACCTCATTTACATGCAATATGGGTTCCACTGAATAAATAATAATGGCAGAGGAATCATATTTCTAACCAACATATGGCACAGTAGGTAGACCTGTGGCTGTGGGGGCAAGCTTGGAACCTGAATACTCATTACACTGACTAAGACGAAGCTAATAGCACTGCAAATTAATGGTCATTGTTATTGTTATAATTATCATCATCATCGTGGTCATTATTATATACGGTGTAAGGTGTTTTGTTTTCGATTTACTAAGTCTACGTCCATTTTTGCTAATGCTTTGCCACAGACTTAAAATAAAACGCCAGGGTCAGTCAGTCAGATAATACGTGGCAACAGCTGGGGCTACATCTGGGACTCCATTTAACCAGTCTAATAGCACATGTGGGTCAGTTCCTAATATTCAGAGTATTACCGAGGCTGAACTAAAAAGCTTTACCCAGGACTGAACTGAGGATTTTTTTTCCACTTGTTATTATCCAGTCATACAAATCTAACTTGTTTTGATAAGTTGTATTTATAGTTGCCCCGCTGCTAATTTAAGCCATGAGTGTTTTTTTGTTGTTGTTGTTTATATGCCCCAAATTATTAATATGTTGGCCAGATTTTCAAGGTTTTTTTTTTTTTTAAAGAGGTGTTAATTCACAACTTGCGTTATTTTTCCACATTTTGGAAAATATTTATATCCCTGAGCTTACCAAGAATCATGGTGATTTCTAGCACATTTGAGCGCATGCTCATTCATGATTAATTAACTTGGATCTGGAACTTTTGTCAAAATGTAAAAATAAACAAAAGCCCCACACCCAAGAATTACCACTTTCTTGTGTCTTTCTTGTGTTGCCATTATAGGAATTGAAGGGAATACTATCATCATCTTGTATTGGGAGAAGATTTATATGTATTTAAATGTTTATATGAAAGTATTTAAATGTTTATATGAAATGTCCTACTTTTGTGTTGCGTCAGGCTGACAAGAAATCATCACTATTTACTTTTCTATTTCCTTGATAAAATGTAGTCAGCAAGAATCGACAAGGCAGGGTAATTGCCATGGTGGGCAAATGCACAACCTTTTTAAAAGCTATATAGGCATCATTTTCAAATGAACATTCAATAGTCAACGTATTATAAATGCATAAGTCCTCATTTTACAACACTTTAACACATAATAAAAATACTCTCAAAAGGCTTTGCCCACAAGGCAGCTATCAGCCCTTCTGAATCACCATTTTGCTAAATGAATCACCATGACAACTGCATCATGCAGCCCTATTTGCAACCACATCGCCTCATACAAACCGAATCGCAGAGATGCTTTGATTACATATTTCAAATGCAGCAGAGCAAAACTGTAGGGCCTCCGTTTTGAGCAAAAAGTTAACACAGGTTAAAGGAAATAAAAAGAGACAGCATTTATCATTTCCTGTTTATCTGATCAGTGTCAGGGTGAATAAATGCTTTTCTCCCCACTCCCTGCTGCCTCTCTCCTCCCAGTCTGAGAGAGCAGATTGGCATCTCGAGCA